ACTTCACCAAAGACGAGTACCACGCCGCCGCCGCCGGCTACACGACCAGGTGCCTCCTCTTCAAGTGGTGGACAACATGCTCCCGCGCCGCCGCCTTCGCCGAGTCGACCCGCAGCTTCGTCAGCAAGTGGTGGACAAACAGGCCCGGTGCCGAAGGAGGACCCGCCTCTCCCTCCTCCCAAAGCGGCACCGCCTCGCGCCGCCACGCAAGCGAAGCCAGCCAAGCCGACACAGGCGGCAGCCAAGAAGTCCGCACAGCCAGTGGTGGTGAAGCGCCCGCCGGTCATACCGCAGGTCGACCCCTTGGCGGCAGTCTTCACGGAGCCCTTTGTCGACTCGGTGGCGGCCGACGTTGACCTCATGGTTTACCGGACTGAGCCGCCCAAAGAGGAGCCGCAGGTGCAAGCAGCTCCGCCCCGCCCCGATGTCGGCAACATGGACTACCTGGACATGATCGCGCCCGACCTCGAGTTCCACATGCAGGCCGCGCCCGCCTCGCAGCCCGGCCTTCCACCAGTGCCAGGCTCGTCCCTGGCCAGCTCCGAGGATGGAGACGCAAACAATGACCAGCTGATCGACCTCGACACGGACAGCGAGGAGGACCCCATGGACGACCCCGCGGAGCAGGACCAAGGGGACGACGACGATGACGACGACCAAGGGCCGCCTCGCATAGTACAGAGGTCTGTTTTGTGCACCGCGCCTGTCGCACCGCCGTGGGACTCTGGAGCTGCTGCCTCGTCAGCGGCCACAGTGGGCGACACGGAGCAGGGTCAGCAGGACGCAGCGGGGTACGCAGCGACAACGGGTGACACCACGGGTGTGCAGACAGCTCCAGTGCAGGACCCGCCCGTCGCACCCGCCCCGCAGACCAGCTGGCCACCTCCTGACCTGGTCGCACGCGAAGCCCGCCGAGCTGCTCGCAGACAGCGCGAAGTGGATGCAGAGGCCCGCTGGGCGGATGAGCCCGACCCATGTAACGTGCTCCCGAACGAGACAAGCACGATATGGTCGCTCCCGCAAGGTGTTCCTGAGCAGCCGGTGCCTTCGCGCTACGCCGACTCGCGAGTGCACGGCTTTTGCAACCTCGGTTGTGAAACACCGAAACGGCACCGCACCGACGTGTGCTTAGGCCGCTGTTTCAGGCCCATCATACGCACGAGCAGTGGCACTGTACATAAGCACCACTTCTGCTCGCCGTGCGATAGGGCTCGCACCGCCAGGACACGCTGAGATCAGTGTCCGGGTGCCACATGTTTTCGTGATCTTCCTCGCCTCGCGGAGCGCCGGTGTAAAAGACAGGCCGAGTGAAGTGATACCCCGCTCTCCCCCCCTCCCGACCCACAGGAGTTAGTGAGAGCTGCAACTCGCCTCGCGCATTAGGTCTCGACCTCGCTCTCTCTCTCTTCTCGCCGTTGCCGCCTGACATGAGTGCCTCTTCTCGCGCATTAGGATTCTCCCGCTCGCTCTCTCTCTCCGGGACTTGGGACAAGAGTTTGTGCAAGGGTTGTGCCTGAGCCTCGCCTCGCACAAACATGTCTGTCAGTTGCATGTTTCAGTTGCAGTGCAGTCTTCTCATGCGCCGCAAGCTTCGCATGTGTGCCAGGGTTTTGCTT